TTGGTGGACGAAGAGGTTTTTTTTCCATAAATTATAATAATTATAAATTTCATTGTTGGATAGTGTAGTTTTTGTTTTTGCTTCTGTTTGAAATTTTCTTCTTCACAAAAAAAATGATTAGTGAGGATATTATTAAAAGTTTTATCCTTTTTACTTTCATCTTCTTTTTAAAGGATATGGCTCATAGGTTTACATTACTAAAGGACATTGTAACAGGGAGAATTGACTAGAAGATAAGAGTTCATATAATAAGATTGTGGAGGTTGCCAGAGTTTATGAATACATTGCAAACAAATTTTTTGGAGATGATTTTGGTGGATGAAGAGTTTTTTTCTTCATAAATTATGTTATAAATTTCATTGTTGGATAGTGTAGTTTTTGTTTTTTCTTTTGTTTGACATTTTCATCTTCACCAAAAAAAAATATGATTAGTAAAGATATTGTTTTCAGAATCAATTACAACGAGTCAATGATCTTAGTAAAGACATCGATAATTTTTTCTGCATGCATGTTATTTTTAGAAGCTAATGTATTTTTTCTCTTTATTTTTTTTAATTATTTTTACCTATTATAATTCAAATAATAACCTTATTTTCAAATAAATCAAATTAGTCTGATTCAAATCTTTCAATTTTTTTAACCAAATCCTACAACTCAATATATTTGGAAAAAAAAAACTTACCATCACTTTTGTATGTACAAATCATTTTGTTTAAGGCTAATTACCATCAATGTTTTCTTTTGATAATATTTTTTTAACATGAATGAAAAGTATTTATACATAACTTCTTATGTATTGATTACAGTTTTTTAATGTCAATTGATAATTTTTATTAATAAAGAAATATTGCACGAGATTTAAACACAATCATATAATATCATAAACATAAATGTACACCAATCATATATGTTATAAAAAATAATATTGTTTCATATTTTATTAATTTTATATTTTAAAATTTATTATAAAATTTCTAAATATAAAACTAATTTATAATTATTCAAAATTATTATATAAAGATATATCGTAAAAGATGTTTCATTCTATTTATATGTTTGAAAATTAATGATTATTCATATTTTTTTTATCATTATTACTAGGCACCAACAGTCAAAATATTTCCCCCTCTTTTTTTGGAGATAAACTATTATTTAATAAAGTTACACCTATGCAACGTCGATGTAATATGTTTCAATCTTTTGATGTAACAACTGCCAGGTTAACAGGTTAGTACTAACCAAATTATTTTTGATATATTATTTATTTCTCAAAATTATTTAAGGAGAAACTTATTTACAATGATATGTAATTATCTACATAATTCTAGAGTTTGTATCATCTAATAGTTACTAGCATACATCTTTGTATTTTCTATAATGATCTAGCTTATTCTAGAAGTTTGTATCACATTTTAACAAGATTCATTGTGACCAGTCTAACTGAATCTCTTGAGTCTTCATCTCTATATTTAGTTCGAGCTAATTCCATTGCCAAAGATTCCTTCACTTCACTCACTATCACACTTATGATTGGCCTTCTGTTCGGATTTGCAGACACACAAGCAGTTGCTATTTCTACTGCTTTCCAAACTGAGTTACTATCAAAAGCTCCTTCTAACCTTGAGTCAACGATGGCCTTGATATCACCTTTAGCAATCAAGGACCTAACCCATTGACTTATATGAGTCTTTTGTTGATTCTTCGCTATCACTGGTTGACTTGTGATTATCTCCAAAAGAACAACACCAAAGCTATAAACATCGCTCTTCTCTGTTAACTTATTGGTTATGTAGTACCTGCAAGACAATGAATATAACTCAATTTATTTTGTCACAATTTTTGGACATAAACATCACATAGAATCAATATATTTTTTTAACAAAATGATGGATAGGAATAGGACAATATAATTGAAATACTCACTCAAGGTCGAGATATCCCGGAGTAGCAGCAATTACAGTTGACAATGAGTTCCCCCTTCTGTTGGGATACTTTTGGATAGACCAAAATTAGATAACTTAGCTTGAAGGTGTTCATTCAACAAGATGTTTGTAGATTTTATGTCTCTGGAATATTGGAGGCTTGCAACCATTTTGCAGATACTCCAATCCTGAGGCCAAAAACATATTGAGAGAGAGGAAAGGAGTTAAGAAAAGACAGTAATAAGTGGACTTTCTGACCTGAGGCTGCATCCACTGTTATACGAAGTCTGTCTTCCCAGCTCAAGAATTTTGTTCTGCTTGGTTTACCTGCATAATCAAGTTCTATAACCTTCTGTTGACTAAAATTATATGACTCTTACAATTGTCGGACAAGGAAATATCATCATCCATGATTTCAGAATACAAACCAGAGAGATGTTCTTTTAAGTTTCCATTAGCCATGTATTCATATATGAGAGACACTTATTGTTTCCTTCATTACAATAATCAATAAGGGAGCTCAAATTTTTGTGATGAACTCTCATTAGAAGTTTAACCTGCTAATCAAAATCACAACCATGTTTAACCATATATATTTGTTGCTGAGCTCAAAAGTATAGTCTAAAGTTATTTTTAAAACTTATCCTGCTTGAAATTATTGATATCCATGAACAGCCAATGGGGAAAACATTTTCATGGCAATAGGGATGTGTTGAGGGGTATTTTATGGAATTTGTCTAAGGATTGTTTTTATAAGGTTTTTATAAAACTTTATGGTTTTGCTGGTCATTATCCAAAAAGTCTCTCAATCATTAAAGTATATTTTGTGTTATATAAGTTATTATTTCTTGTCTTATTTTATCGATGTGGGACTTGTTTGTATCCCAACAGGATGTCATCTATATAGCCCAGATAAACTGTTTCAAATCCTCCTTTACCGACAATTGCATGGAATTGGTGGTTTTAAGGACATCTGAGCATGAGTATTTTTGTTTCTGGATTAGAGTAATGAATCAGCTTGTTCTTTGGATTGCGATTAGATCTGAGTTTGAGCCTTTCCTACCATCAAAGCTGTTAAATATCATACAATAGTTTCGAAAACTAGCTGTTACGAATTAGTTTGTGTGGCCAATTAGAAATATAAAAAAATGTGAATCTTAGCATCCCCTTTAGAGACCGTTAGAGACCGAATCTTCAGTCGTTAATTAAATAAAACTTACTTACTAAATTAGAGACGGATTTTTTTTGGTGCTATATTAAATTTAATTAGATACTATTTTAGTCTATAAACTATTTTTGAGTGTCATTTTTCTGTCTCTAATCTAAATATAATTAGAAACTATTTATAAAAATAATATTATAAACATTTCATAATAATAATTATAAAATTATTGTATTGTATTTGTATTGCTATGTTATATTCTTCCTCGAATTTAATAGGACACTGTTATTTATATGATATAATATATAATTATATTATAATTATTCAATACAAGCTTTTTTTACTATGTGGTTATAATACTTGGATGAAAAATACATTTTTTAATCAATAAATAATATAATCCCTATATATTAAATGTGAATTATTATTTTGAACAAGAACATTTTTGGAGATTATTTCTCAATGATGCTTTTAAAGATTCTTATAAATTTTTATTTTATTTAATTTTTTATTTATCATATTTATTTATAAATTAAATTTTAATATTTTAAAATATATTCTCAATAATTTAAAATAATTTTGTATTGTAATATAAATTATTTATCTTAAATATAAAATATAATTTATATTTTTAAAA